CTTTCGTCTCAATCACACCAGTTGGGCCACCTCCAGAATTTTTGACGATAGTCGGGTCGCTGCCACTCACTGGATGTTGCAGTGCCGTGCCCCGAGCTATCAAACAGCAACGTTACATTAACGTCGGAGAAGACCAGCAAGCAACGTTATATTAACGTCGTAATAAAGAGTAAGCATCGTTAACTTACCTTTACCACTGACTTCGGCTCGATTTTGGACTCCAATGCCGTCACAGCCGCCAGCTTCTCGGCAACCTTCGTACTCGTCAGTACTGCCACCGTCGCGACCAGCATCATCGCCTGGTTGCCCGAGTTTTTCCGAACCCGTGCTACCGTCAGTAACAACGACGGGGGTGTCTGCGCGCTGCTTCCAATGCGCCTCCGTTTCTGTCGTAAGGCGACATATCAGATAGGATTACGGACCGCCCATCAGCCTCTGACTTACCGCTGTCGACGTTACCGACGCATTCCATCCCAGTATCAGCCTGTGGCGCAGGTATGTCACCACTGCGATCAGCCGCGCTCTTCCCCCCATCAATGCCGCCGATCGCGTCGCCACTATCGACTTGCTTCCCACTGTCGGTCCCGTCCTTCTCACCGATCGCTGGGCCACTGTCCGCGAGCCTAACTGGAAGTTTCAGTGGAGAGGATAGATACGTATCGTTAACGGCGACAACAACAGCGTTAGACGAGTTATTCCAATCAATAAAAAAAAAACAAGGACTTATTATCGTTGCTGTGCCGTGCTGCCAGCGTAGCACTAGCTTCAGTAGTGCCGTCCACGCTTGTCTTTTTGCCTTTGTCCCGCCGGCGGTTTCCATCGAACTCACCGCCGTTCGTCACATTATTGCCGCTGGCCGCATTGCCACGTGGCAAGTGTCCTTTCAACAATTGTAACGTTGTGTCAACGAACAACGTTAGGTTAACGTCAACCCACAGCAAAAGCAACGTTAAATTAACGTCGACAAATAATACAAGCAGCACTACCCACCGTCATTGCCGCTCGTGCTAATCACCACTGCAGCAGCGTCGATAACGCTAACATCAGCATCGCCAACGCCTTCACCCATGCCGATACATCCCCCGCTTGCGTCGTCATCATCCTCGCTGGTTTTGGCGGCAGTTAGTGGACTGCTGCCGCCGGCTTCAGTCGCAGTAGGCTCACGCCGCTGAGGTTCCTCCCCTGGACCTAATAAGCAGCAGCAACGTTGAAACGAAGCCAGTACTGTACAACAGTCACTGCGTAACTCACCTTCACGCTCAGCACTGGCGCTCCTCGCCGCACCACGGTTGCTGCCTGCACTGCCGCCTCCGCCGACCTTGTCGCCGCGTCCTTCTGCGTTATCGGTGTCTCCTGCCAGACGTAGCGTCGCCACCGCCGACGCCGGCGCTACCGCTATCTCTCTCGC